AATGGTGGTGGTCTGCTGCTTTGAGGGGTTCCAATGCCGCCGCTGCTGCCCGCCGCTTAAGGTACCTTGCCTTTAGGTGTGCCCCGGCGCTGCTACCTAGGAATTGCTTGCAGCGCGCTGCTCCTGCTCCTGCTCATGCTAGCAATGGCGCTCGCTGAACGAACAGCTCCCTCACCTCCGCCCCTCCACCTGCTGCTGCCCACCTCAGGTGCAGGGCAGGCGTGGCGTGGAAGGGAAGCGATCCAGTTAGGGCCCCAGCAGTACTTCTGCCCGCCATCCAGTGACAAGAGCGCCCTGGTGCCTGTGCCAGCCCGGTAGCAGCAGCAGTAGCGTAATAGATATGGATGGGTACCTTAGCAGAGACCTTGGCCGAGCCAGGGCCAAGCCCATGACCATGCCCAGGACAGGACCACCACGGCCACGACCAGGACCGGCCCACGACTGGGATGCCACCCTCACACTCACTCACACTTCAGGCTTTGGGGGCTCTAATATGCAGTACCCAAGTACCTTCCATGCTCTGCCCTCTGCAGAGGACGGGACTCGCTCACGCACACGACAACGGAGGGGCCCTCCTCACCACCCTCACCCTCTCTCCCTCTGAGGTGGGAGCTTTGGAGGGGACCCATTTGTCTGCTCCCGTGCTTGTCTCGAAGTAGCCGCTGGGCCAGAGGCACTCCATGCGTCGTGAAGCTGTGGTGTTGCGATGCTGCCGTGCCAATGATGCTGTGCCTTGCTGCGTTCCATGCTCAGGGAGGCAAGTCTCTTCTTCCATCTACGTATCTACCATACCTTAAGGTAGGCATCATGTCAATATCGCTCACTTTTCCATAAACATACAAAAACCTCATCGGCCTAATTACGTTACCCATCCCTTACCGAGCTGAAGAGAGGGGGGGAAACTTGCAAAACAAAACAATATCCGTCCCCAATATCATCACAGCCATGCCAGCGAGCCATGCACCACCCAGCCCGGCCCATTACCGCGGCCCCAACGCCTGTGTTAGCGCCCAAGGGGGTCATCCCTGCGCCCACGACGCGATCCAATTGCTTGCTTGACATGCTCCTCCAGCCTGAGAAACTCTTACACAGGCCTCAGCCATCAAGAGGCAAAAAACCACCCAAGGTAAGGTAGGCAGATACAGACATATATGCTTCATATTGCTATGCCATGGATGTAGGGGAAAACCCTCCCCGGCAACAAGACAAGACAGACAAGACTACGGACAGCTGTCTTTGCTTCTCCCTCAGAGACATACATTGACCTCAGAGACACTGGCATCCATCCCAAACACGCGTACCACCACCATCTGCTGCGTACATAGTATGGGTATGGGCTTTTGTGGGAAGAGACGTCGTTGGCATGTTCCAGAAGCCAACCCAGCCGCCGTCGCCTCCGTCCTATTGGATCCTGCATGTGCCACAGTAATCAAGTAAACAACGGAATAAGAAAATAAGGGGAATCTCTGACCCAGAGAAACAAGAGATTTTGACGGCATCCAAAATGAAAAACGGCCTGGTCACTCGGTAATTGGGACCGAACTGCCCAGCAGTTGCCAATCGCTTTCCGTCCTCCGGGTCCACTCTGTGCACCTCTCGACAGTCGATATCCGTACCTTGCACCATCCCGCCTTACCTTCCGTGCCTTGGCCTTCCTTCCACTCTTGCAAAGAGAAAGTGATGTGTCGTCTCCCTCCCGTCCGTGTTTAATGACGATTCTCCCATAACTTCCGGCTTCAATCTCGACAATTCGACCCCCCACACAGAACACAGACTGGAGACTGGAGACTGGACGGATGACTCCTAACAAAGGGGGGAACAACCCAAAAAACAGACTCGGGAACCCGCTTGAAAGAGCCATGCAGTGAAGTCATTATCAGATGCTTTTGCCGTTTTCCTTTTGCTTTACCGTCCAAGCACTCGCACCCTAACCAACCACGTCTCTCAATTTGCAAATGCTGCCAAGTCAAGGTATGGATTACCTCTCCATCCAAAGGGCCCAACCTGACTGACTTGCTTTCCCAGGTACCTCATGTCTGCCTCGCCCGTTGCCCTGAAAGAAAGTACCGCCGCAGGGTGCCCTTTGTGTCGCCCGGCAAGAGTCCCGACGGTGGCCTCCGCACCTCCTCTGCCCAAAACGGCGCCTCCAGGGTTGATACTGGTTGCCTTCCATATGCAAACCCTTTCCCAGAAACACGCCAGCTACCTCATCACCTTGCAAGCCCGCTGCTTAGTTGACCAAGAGTAACACCCATTGCTCCATTCATAGCTTCGCCCTTGGGATACTCCCCCAATGGGAAAAAGAAAACTCCCGACTGGCCCCCCAGCAGCATCAGCACCGCCCACGAAAGCTCCAGCTCTCCTCCCAACTGGCTGGCCTCGACTGCTCCAGAGACGCACAATGACAGAACCGCGAAGCCTTCGGGTACGCGGCCCTCCATCTGGCCAAACGGAACGAATCCCACAGTTACGTTTCGAACGCGCCTTCAATGGGGTTCCGTCGTCCCACGCATTCTAGACCACCATCGCCCACGCTCTCACCTCCAGCTCTTCCCTCAATTCCCCAGCTGCTCCATCTAACATCAAGATCGGAACCAAAGCCAAAACGCAAATGAGGCATTTATTCCAAGTCATTGAGAATGCAATCTCTCATATTACACCTCTGCTCGACGACCTGAGCGACTTTATCAAGTCGACGCCGTCCATCATTTAACATTATGGATCGGCATCCACCCCGCCGCTGCAGCTTGACCAAGCTTGTCAACGACGCCGCCGTCTTGGCACTATATGGCAAACTCGCGACAATCACATCAAGCTACCATCTGCAACCCGCTGGACCCCCAATTTTAAAAACAGAAACCCTACAAGGCTGCTGAGTCTGTCAAGGTCTGATAAGCGGTCGCCGGCCTCGAGAATGACAGTGATAGCGACAACACCCTTGTTGACCCTGCGTCGATCATCCTCGGCTTTCTTGGTGTCTCTTTTCCCAGCTGCCGCCGCGGTGTCGATTCAATGTGTGCGACTCAAAACAGACATTGCCATCGTCTCTACTTGACCAAGGTTGTTCATCGCAACTCTTTTTTTGCCGCGGCACAGCCACTTTCTTGTTTCTTTTCGTCTCGTCTGGACTTTCTCCCAGCTGAACCTCCTTCCTCGGCTGTAACGGCCGAGAGGAAGGAGGAAAGTGTAGACGCTGCCCGTGATGCCCTGCATCGCCAGATTTTCTTCAGGAAATCAAATCAATTGAAAGCGAGGCCAACGGCGCCCGTGAAGGAAAATCAAACTCGCATTCAAGATGCTGTTCCCCAACTCGTTGTCTGGGTTTCAGGCCCCATGCCGACCCATCCGGATGAGACGTTCCCAAAAATGTCCAAGTAGGCCCTTTCACGAACGTCTCACACGCCAGGGCTAAGCCGTTCCTCACCTGGCTCGCCCGAACCAACGTCCAGCCAAAGACAAGCTCACGCGCGGTTGTTCGCGCGTGCATAGGAAGGCAGCCATCCGCCAGCAGTGGGACGAAGGAGAAAAAAAAAAGTTGGGCCTAGTATCCAGTCTCCCGGTTGTCAACCACCAACTTAGACCAGAGGAGGGGGGGAAGCCATCTTCGTCGTATGATTCCGGCGAGCGGCCTCGTTTCTCGGACCATTTCGTATCTGGAGGTCTTCTCGGAGAGTCGGGTCCCGAAGGAAGCGACCTACCTCCTCCCCAGCGTCCATGTTACCATTTCACCTGGCCCATGCGACTTTGTCTTGGGGAATCGCACGACGTCTCACAGCATTTCCAATTCCTGCCAGGGACCACAACACGAAACGCAACCTTATCTGTCTCATGATTCTCAATCTCCAGACGAGGCAAAGGGAAATTTCGCGATCAAACCCACCAGATCTCAATGTTCATCTCAAACTTTGAACCCCCGTGCGCAGTAAACCACCATCCAGAGGTTCTCTCTCCCCCCGTAGTACAGCATTCCACTCTGTGTCGAGCCGGAATTGCCTCCGAGACGCTTGCTTACTGGCCGGCCGCCCCCTTCCTGCTTCCTCCAAAAGATCCCATCTTCATTTCCCAAGTGAAAAAAGCCCGAAACCCCGATCGCCGTTCCTCTCCCGCCGGCCAACAAGCGCACGATCCTCTCACACTGGTTCGCCAACGTCACGCCGTCTCCCAGCCGAACCTTAAACGGCGCTGCTTAACTTCGCCGGCCCTTTCCGCAACGGGCAAAGACTCGACCTAACCGTCGCTGTCCGTCGTGTGTCCGTCACTTGCGTGAAAAGGAGACAAAATCCTTCCTTCCTCCACCCCCAATCCCCAAGACCTAGATAAACTTCCACGCTAGAGAGTCCTTCCGATCTGACGCCCGTCCTCCATCTTACGCCAGACTCACATTAGGATCCGAACTACAGTTCGCTCGGCCGAGAAGAGGGCTGCGTGGCGCCTCCACATCATCCTTCAATCCCCTGGAATCACGCTCCCTTTTCTCCCCATCCACGGAATAAGAGATACTTCCCGAGAGTAATTGCCTAGGCTCCGGGTGAGTTTGGAGGGAGAAAGATCAGCTCGACAACCCAAAATCATAAGATGCCCGCCCCCCCCCCCCCCCCCGCTCCTCCCCTTCTCAGTGATTCTTCATCATCAGTCATCAGCAATCCGATCTTTCGCCGAAAACTTCTGCAAACATTGGGCTGGGTTCCGCAGGAAGGTCGTGAAGCCGGAACTTGCCATGCTTATGGAACCATCTGGCCCTCCAAACCGCCAACTTAAAGGTATGGAATGTGTGCCTTTATATGGGAAGGCAGCAGAGAGGCGGACGAACCCAAAATGCGGACGATCCTCGCCAGAATCATTGGCTTCATCCGAGCTCCCGGAACGTTGTCCCGTTCTAGTACGCCTTACGATCTTTCGTGCGGCCCCATCGTCATCGTCGTCCGCCCTTTAGAAGCAGTGTGGTGGTTTTCTGGACGAAAAGTTGTTCTAGACGCCCATCCGCGTATCCTCAGACTTTGTCATTGTGTGTGTGCGCGTGTGTGCCTCCGACCCGGATGTTCCATCGACTTTCTTCCCGCGCGCGGGGTAGGTACGGTCTGGGCCTTGGGGCTGACAGCTGTCCTGGTGCTCGGGCCTGGCGTCTGAAGTCGGGAAAGGATGCAGACGTCGATTTCGGTAGGCGGCCGGTGAGTGCTGTCTTTGAGCTTGAGTGTGGTCAACGTATTCGTGAAGCTGTACTGTGTATCGGAGTCCGTTATCGGAAACCTGCCTTCGCGGGCAATCTTTGTCAGCTTAGTGATGCTGTCGACGACGTGATACTGCGGTGATATTGTCCACATTTGTTTTTGGATCGGCACGCAACTTTGCTGTGATCGTGTGCCTAACGCTCGCGGAGATGTGTCTGTTGCAAGACTAGACATAGATGACTGGACGATCAATGGGAGTGTCGTCGCGTATATGCGCATAGAAAGGCTTAGTCCAAAGTTGCGATGCTGTGATTATGTGTCTGTCCTATCATGAGAGACTGGGTTGAGAGCTTGGCTCGAGTGACGAGATGGGGGAAAGGAGAGCATTACATTTGCCACACACGTCTCAAATTGAAGGTCTTGTGCTGCCAGTACAATTGCTTGGATAATATTTCAAGTTTCGGCTGTCATCTTGTCTTCAAGGTAGGCATCTTAGCAGCCAATTGCAACTTAGTATCATCATATCACGGATTGCCAACATGGTGTTGCTAGTTCATGATGGGGGTCACATTCCATAGCGGCAAGTTATCTGGATTGATCAATGTAAAGATGGCCGTCTTTTCTTACTTGGCAAGTAGGTATAACTAATTTGACCTGCATTCTTAATCTCTACATGATCATTATCTACGGGGAAAGCTTCTGGGTTACTTTTACTTGGTGGCGAAGGGATTAGCAAGTTCAGGGGTAGGTAAAAGGCCTTCGAAGGATAGCCGCGTCGCAACAATCGCAACCTCCTTCCTTGGGTTGGAAAAGTCTGACATGATCGAGGCCAATGGGTGAGTGAATCACTGGGAGACAGAAAATCTCAACCTACCTCGAGGGAAAGAACAACCCAGAGGTGCGCCTTCCTCTTACACCTGCCTCCTACCTCGCCTACCTCCCACACCCTCAACCGCCTGCCCACAAAATCTTTTTTGAACGAGGTCTTCTCTCACCTTTCTGTTTACCACCTTCCCTTCCCTTCACAACACCTCACCCGGGAGAAAAACAATCCTCTTTCTTCCTTCCGCAACACATCTTCACAAACACAAGGTACGCTCTCAAACACACCTTCTCCCCCCTTTCACTGTCTGATTGTTCCCTCGAAGTCATCGCCTTCCCCGCGAAAAGAGAACAAAAGAGAACTCTTGGCAGTTTTCTTTTTGTCTTGCACAAAACACACATCCCACCTGCTTCTTGGATCTTCTTGGAAAGAACGCCTTGGAGATCGTCAAGATGGACGGTGTGAACCATCCCTTCTCCTTCCGCTGCGGCGACAGCGAGTTCGCCTTTAGAAACAACCCGGGTGCAGACTCTCTGACCCTTACTTGGACTGCCCCTGGCAAGAACGATAACGTCAACAACAACCCTGCCGGTACTCAGGCCATTGTCCACCAGAACATCGACGGTAATGCCAATGCTGGAGACAATGGTAATGGAGCCAACGACGAGGGAAACGACCACAAGAGACGCCGCGTCCACGTGGAGATTGAGAAGCATCGCGTCACCGTCCTGAAGCTTGGATCGGACGTGGCCTTCGACTTCAAGTCTGCCGCTGCCGAGTCTGAGAGACAGCTGGCCAACACCATCACCGAGCGCGACCAGCTCCAGGCCCAGCTTGACAACTTTGCTGGTGTCCGCGACGACTTGCAGCAGCAGTGTGACGACTTGAAGCGGCAGCGCGACCGGTACTATACCGAGCTCCTCACCGTCACCAATACGAATATCAGACTCCAGGCGTCGCACAACAACCTGCGCACCCAGCATGAAGCCCTCCTGGGTCAGAATGCTCAGTTGAAGACCGAGCTTACCGCCTCTCAGGCCACCGTTCAGGTTCTGCTCACCAACGACCGTGAATACCAGAAGCTCAAAGGAGAGCACACTACTCTCAAGAATGACAATCAGGCTCTGAAGAACGAGTATGAGACCCTTCAAGAGCAGCACACGACTCTCAAGGAGGACTTCGAGGGCCAGAGCCAGGAATGGGAGTACTTTCTTGGAAACCTACACCATGACGTAAATGAGGGAGGATTCGAATGCCAGATTGAGCAGGCAGAGGCAGAGGTCCGCGAAGTCCGAGACCAGATGGATGATCTCCAAGATGAGTACCGTCGTCTCGAGTCCGACAAGAACGAAGCTCTGGAGCATCTCGAAACTGCTCAATCCGAGCTGCAGGAGGCTAAAGAGGAGACCCAGAACCTCAAGAACGAGCTCGCCGAGCAGAAGGAGACTGAGGAGTACGTGCGCATTATTGAGAAGATGCTCGAGAAGGTCGCCAATGCGAAGAAGGGCGTTGAGGAGCACGTTCGCACTGTCGAGAACAAGCTTGAGGCCGAGACGGCTCGCGCCGCTGATTACGCTTCTCAACTCCACCAGCTGCAGGAAGCCGCGAACCGGTCTGCGGTCGCGGACGACGCCAACGGTAAGCTCGAGGTCAAGAAGCTCCAGGACAAGAACGCCATCAAGGACGTTCAGATCGCCGCCCTCGAGGCCGCCCTCAAGCAAGCTAATGAGAAGAAAGCCGACGTGAACCGATGGGAGGTTGCAAAGGATGTCTACCGAGCCAAGAAGAACAGCCGCCTCAGCGTTCCCAGTGCGACTGACAACATCATGAAGAAGGACTCGGAGGAGATGCGCACCCGTGCTCTTCGCCGCACTGCCGATGCGACGGAGAAGGACTCGGTCGAGGAGCCGCGTCGCGACCTGAACCAGGTGTTCCAGATTTGATCGAGAGGATGAAATTCTTTGGCTTGGGGTTTTGGCTTTGAGCAGGCATGTTGCAGATTGGTAATGATGAACAATGGACAGGCACGGAAGGACGCAAATAGCACATCGGTGTAGCAAGACGGTCCTCGTCCGAACAAGTCAATCAGGATGATTTGGTATTGCTAAAATTCTCTTTTGATGTGAAGTTGCTATTAGACCGGAAACATCGTGACACTATTCCAACATACTGCACCACCTCTCCTCCACTATCTCTTTCTCTCTTATTCCTCCTTATGCCCAATCCTAGGCAGGCAAAGCCACAGCCCAAGCATGACCCCCAAACACGCCAGGATAATGGGCTGCAAGACCTGCACACCCTTCGCCTGCGCCAACACACCGACCGCAAACGGCAGAATCGCCGCGCCGCTACCTCCAAACGCCGCCGCGAACCCGATGGTGCTCACATGCAGGTGCCGCGGCAGCAGCTTCGTCGCCGCGACCACGACAGCCGGGAAGAACGGACCCAGGAAGAAGCCCTGCAGCGCGACGGCGACGGCGGACACGTAGAACTGCGGGACGAGCCAGAAGAGCAGCTCCAGCCCCATGGCGACGGGGATGTAGATGGCGACGGCGAGCTTGACGCCGAGCTTGGGCGTGACGAAGCCGAGCAGGGCGCGGCCGAGGGTGATGCCGAGCCAGAAACCGACGGAGGTCATGCCCGAGTCGAAGGGGTTGGCCTTGCGGACCTGGATCATGAATTGCACGATCCAGCCGCCGAGGGAGACCTCGACGCCGACGTAGGCGAGGAGGAAGACGGCGCAGAGCCAGGAGACGCGGGCGTATGGGCGCTTGAAGAGGGTGGCGCGCATGGTGCTGTTGCCGCTGCCGCCGTTGGGGGAGGAGGCGTTTGCTTGGGCGATGGTCTCGCGGTAGACGGCGCCGGTTTGGGTCCAGAAGGCGGAGGTGCACCAGACGAGCTCGATGACGGCCATGCCGAGCTGTGTGCGATTATTAGTGTTGGGCGGGATAGAGATAGAGAGAGTGAAACATACTAGGACGTAGTAGAACGTCCACCAGCCGAGCTTCCCCTTGTCGATCATGGTCGTGGCGATGAGCGGGCTCATGACGCCGCCGGCGCCGTAGAAGGCGTGCAGGAAGCCGAGGACCTCGTTGGCGCGGTCCATGTTGCCGATGTAGGCGTTCCAGGCGGCGTCGGAGATGCCGTTGCCGAAGCCCGCGAGGATGTATACAACGACGAGGGCCGGGTAGGGCGGGTGCTGGGAGATGACGACGTAGGCGGCGATGTGGCATGAGGAAGCGATGACGGCGATGCCGCGCTGGCCGACCTTGAGGTGGATCCAGTTGTTGAGCAGCGCGGAGAGGACGTAGCCCACGAAGGGGGAGAGGAAGACCAGCGAGACGACGACGTAGGAGAGTTTGTAGTATGATTCGAGCTTTTGACGGGGGTTAGGTTGAGCTTGGTGAGATGAAGATGAGATTAGAGTGAGCACTCACGTAGGGGATCAAGGCCTGGGAGTGTGTGTTAGTGGTTTGAACTGTGAGATGAGAGACGAGAGGTGACTTACACCATAGGCGGCATCATTTGCGCCCGAGACGAAGAGACTCCAGAAGCACGAGAGCACCCTGTTCGCGTTGGCCCTGGGATAGTTCCATTTCTGGGTGACGGTGGCCGTTGTCGTCGGCGCCGGGAGACCGCCGGTGACATCTTCGTTCGAGCCCAGGCGGTGGCCTTCGGAGTTGAGGAGCGTGGCGTTCTTGGGGGTGGGAGGACGGTTCAGCTGTTGCAGCTGGACTGTCGAGGTGGACGATGTGGCCGCCATTTCTTCAACGCCGACGATGGCGCGGGGGCACGGTCGAGGGGAATTGCGTTCAATGGGAAGTTGGCCAAGAGTCTGGCTCGGATTCTTGCGTCAATGGGTTGAGATTGGACCAAGCTCCTGGACGGGATGGGGGGAGGCAGGTTTTATACGGTACTTGACGTAGGACCGACGGGGGGAGAAAATCTAGCAAACGATGTACGCAATTGGATCTATCTGGACGGTGTGTATGTAATAATACATGCAACAGCGAGCAGGTGGGACATCTCCAGGAGGCTCTGCGAAAAGCTCCTCCTGCACTGCACCCCGGTTTCCCCAGCTTACGGGAGCCACCAGCTGGGATCTCTCACACCCCTAGCACGGAATACATTTCGCTGTAGGCGGAGCGGTGATGCAATTCGGGTGGCCGACATGAGTCAATCGGATCGCGCGCCCGACCGACCCAAGAACGAAAAGCAAAGAAAGAACCACGAGGTCAACTTTAGGTAGGTCGATCCGCCGGTAACCCGTGTGAGCGGCAGAAGATTTATGCACGCGGTTGAGCTGGGCCGAGTCACCGGCGCGGCGTTG